ATATATATATATATATATATATATATATATAATAAACTACTACTTACTACTTGTACTACTATTCCTACTTTGCAGTTTTTACTTGTTGTGGGTCTTCAGGGTATGAATCTCCTGCGATAAACGAGGGACTACTGTACTTTTTTCTTTTGATCACATTTTGTTAATTACCTAGAATGACAGTACACGAACCTTTACCTTTATACAAGACATCAGAAGGTGTTCCTCCTTGTATTCCAGATATGTCTTTTCCTATGTAGCTATAAACATTTGATTCAAAAATTATCTTATTGATTTAGAATGGCTTTAACTGTATATCAATGTCTTGTTTCATTCTCCAAGATTGCATTAAAGTGGGAACCAAAAAGGATGAAATCAAAGATAGTGCAGTGGTTTTCTCCACAACATGGTGGACGCAAGGCAAGTCTGATATAAATATTAATCTGTGGATAAACGCAACATCTATTTCCTCTGACGTTTACTTCTTTCTGACAGTTTGAGTATGGCAGCATGGACGCTGTACAGATGAGGTTGATGCGATTTCACAGCCACACATCTTTCCAGACCGTTACACTCATCGCTACAACAAACCAGTCCAGTTCTGTTTCCACAGCAGAACTACCCAGTTGGATTCCTCATTTATTGGGAGACTCTGGCAGAGAAATTGATTCACACCTCTTTACAGTTTACAGAAAAAGCTTGGAGGTGAGACTAAAAGATGCCGTCAGGAAGTCTGAGTCTGTTTATTTAGCTTCATTCAAACGTGATCTGAACATTACATTAACAGGGATGTACTGAAGGCATGTAGAAAGTTCTGTTCGAAGAAATGAAATACTAAGAATGTGTGTTAGCTACTTACACGTGTAAATAATTAATTGCAGTTCAACAAATTACATGTAAAGAGCTAAACTTTCCTTAAGGACTTGTTTAAAATAAAAAAAATGTAAATCCCAAATTTTTGTATTGATCAAGAGAATAATTTCACACATTTGTAAATTATTTAGGATTCATAGTTGCAAAAAAAAATTTTAAAGCACTAATCAAATGAGCTGACGTATTGTCTTTTTGTCTGATCGTTCAGGTTCTTGTGGCCGTGAGTGTGCGTGGCAGCACAGAGGTGCATCGAGGTGATATGGAGCTACTTCCTGTTAGAGATCTGGGAGTAGAAATAAACAGAACACCTAACTTTTTCTCTGAGATCACAGTGGTTTTGGGACCCCTCTGCTTCTTGTGAGCAATAAATAATGTGCATGTGTAATTTTGCTTGCATTACTTAGTGTGCAATAAGTCTGTAAATATTTATTGGAAATGAAAAAGGAATATATTCTATGTGTATTTTTTCTGAAGCTGTGTCTGAAGTCTGTGCTGTTTCTTTGTATTGATGTTTCGTACCATGAACTATGTTAAGAATTGTTCAAATATTCATGTAGTGCCACACGCTCGAGTCACTTTGGCTGCATAGATTTCATAATAAAACATGTTCTTATCTGTCCTTGCTAGCTTTTTGCTTTCTGGGTTTTAAATGTGCCTGCAAGAGACAGTGGGTGACTAACTTTAGTTTTAACAGTTTCAACAAGTTTTATTGTCGGTATCTGCATACTCTCTAGTAATCATCATTATTAAGCAAGACTCAAATGTACCTACAAAACACATACAAATATATTCCTGTTCTAATGGCTATAGAGCTTTAAAATGGGATTTAAGACTCATCAGTACCAAAACTCATGGTCTGCATGGGGTACACAATGGTAGCATTGTTATTAAAGCTTGTTAAAAATGTACAACTCTTACTCATTTATCAATTATGTAAAGTAAAATATTGTTTCTAGTCGGAGGAAGCACAGAAAAGAAAGAATCCTGAATATCTGAAATGCACATAAACAGTAGACATAAGACATTGGGGCAGCAAGAGCTCATTCGTCAGTGCCATGGTCTTGTAATCCTGAGGTTGCAGGTTTGAGCCCAGGTTGCGTCAGGAAGGGCATCCGGCACAAAACAAATTGTCAATTCTTTCATGCGAGTTTGCTCACTGTGGTGAGCCCTGAAAAAGAGAGCAGCCAAAAAAAACTTACTAGTAGCCATAAAATATGTGGTAAATGGATGATTATTTATATAAACTCCTAAAAATTCAAGTTGCTGTTAACAATCTGAATTGAAACTTCCTTTTGAGCTAAAAAATAAAATAAAAGTTGGAAAACTTCTAATGTATTATAGGTTAAAGGACTGTATTTGTAGATTTCTAGAGCTGCATTTATAAAAGAAAAGAGTGAAGTAATTTGTATGAATATCAATGGTATAATATCAATGATAATATGAATATCAATGGTATAATGTCAATGATAATATGAATATCAATGGTGTTTGAGAAACCTGAAGCCTTTTTTGTTGTTCTGAAGAATTTAATATACTGTATGTGTAAAACATTCTGTTAAATGAATCCTGGTTACTGATCATACTAAAAAATAATAATACACAGGCTGAAGTTATATTAATATTTATAATAAAAAATAATAATAATAATGGGAAATTTATCAGAGGGTGTTCCGTACCTTACCCACCTGCGATAAGCAAGGGACTACTGCATATTAATTTTGAAACACTATGTGACATGTTTATTTTGTTTGTTTGTTTTAGTTTGAATAAAATAGTTAATCAAGTATCATTAATGGAAAAATAGGACTCTGTTTAATTGCCAATAGAGAAATATTTTCACAGTAATGTCACATCTATTCATTATACAATTGAACTAAAACTAAAACCTAGGTATAGTGATTGTTCTTAGGCAACTTACCAATTTAGTATGTTTCATTGACATGTACAAAATCTACACAAGTTGGTACAGTGTATGGTTCCTGCTCAGTGGTGGGACTGACAAAATTCCAAGTAAGAGCCTATATTTAGAAATTTAAAACTGTTTAAATTGAATACAATATGAGAACTCAGGACTATTTGTCTTAAGTCTTTTGATCCAAATGACTTCAACACACTAGTCAAATACTGGGGTACAGAATAAATGCATTGTAACAAACACATCTTATTTCACTAGAACACATATAACAGTTTGAACAACTTGGTTCTCTGGAATTCCAGAG